AGTTCAATCCAACCTATAGGGGTTGATCGGATCGGCGGTCTCCGCTGATCAATCTTTTTAACTATATATATTAAAAAAAGAATGGTTAGAAGCTATTATACAAGTCTCCAGCCACCCCTAATGTGTCTAACAATTCGAGTACCACCTCCTTAATGCCAATTGTGCGATTCAATCCCTCAACATAAGGGATCTTATATCCTGAATGCCAACCAACAGACCGAGTTATGCGACACTAAGAATTGTGTGTATATATGTCAACACCCAACTTATTGAAAGCCGAGCACGTCTTTTTCTTATACAATGATTTATAACACCAAATTGTTACAAATATAAAGAACAATATGTAGATGTTAAATAGGTAAATCCATAAGAGGTGAGATATATAAATTAATTAGTCAATTTGAACTGATAAATCCCACCATCACCACTTACCTAATCCTATTTTGCCTCTTGAAATTTGTAATAAACAAATCTGAAGGAAGAGAAAAGTAACAAGCCAGCTGAACAGAATAATCTCCCAGCTTTGACCAAAATTAAATTAAAGCGAAACTTAGCTTTATGAAAATGAGTTATATCATTCATAAAAACAAATTCAGACGAATTATTAAATAAATGACGGGCATCAAATATATATTTTTATGTGTAGGTGTGTAAATGAGCCGAACACGAGCAAGCTTGGGCTTAGCTTGTGTTATGCACATTTATATTTCGAGTTTAAAAAGTGTTTTCGTGTTCAACTTGTTTGCTTAGTGAGCCGAACACGAGTTGTTCACGAATAAAGAGTCATTTTGACAACCTTAATCACGTAGCCATAAGATATTTAGGGTTTATAAGTTTTAAAAATTATTGTTTATATTAAAACATCATTTGAATCTAATCTAATAATTTTTATTCTATTTTCTTAATTAATACTTTTAATTGATTATAAATCTTTGTAGCCAATTAAATCTTTGTAGCCCTGTATATATATAATTGATGAGCAGTATTTCGTGCCAAAACGAGTCAAACACGAACGAACAAATCTTTGTTCGTGTTGTCTGTGCTTGTCAAACACGAACGAACAAATCTTTGTTCGTGTTGTCCGTGCTTGACTCGTTAACTTAGCAAACAAATCTTTGTTCGTGTTCGGCTCGTTTATATATTGAGAACAAAAAAAAATTGTTCGTGTTTGACTTGTTAACTTAACCAACAAATCGAACACAGCTTTTTAACGAACCAAACACATAATATTCACGAACAGCAAACCGTCTTGACAGCCCAAGTAATGATAAAAAGAAACAAACAAGCAAATTTGTAAAGTTTGATTTATATCTGTCATATAAAATATACATTAAAAACGTTGAAAACTTAATTAAGCCTTTTTGAACTCAAAGGGAATACACTTTCATTGTTTCTTGTTCCCAGTTCCCACACATATAATTCACTTATCATCTTTGCATGGGAGAGCTCCATGTGCCATGGATCTAAGCTCTGCAATGATTCAGTCAACCAAAACAATACTTCAAACCTTGCTTAGTTGGCCAGATTAATTTAATATATATTAATTAGATAGCTAAGAAACGCTAATCATATATATTTATAATGATTAATTATCTTATTGCATGTCTGATCAGCATACAATGGCCAAGACAAGTACACAAGCTGTATATTTTGTTTCCACTGTACGTGCAAACGACCTTTCAATAATCGTAGAGAAACGCTTATTCGCACAAAGACAGAGCTCTTTCATTGGCTTTTCTATGATGTTTCTAAGAGTTAACATGCAATGATTATTTTATAATATATATATATTTAAATTATTAAAAGATTTCATAATGATTGAATGTATTTGACAAACATACATATTATGTTATAGTTTTAGGGAAGTAATTATTCATTGAGATTTTGATGGCAAGCTGAATTAAACTAACATTTTCATGTTTATGTTTTAGGTTAAAGAATAACTGATGGAAGTGAATTAAGCTATTTAAATAAGATGGGATCAAATTATAGAGAGATGATTATGTTTATAATTGTTTTTATTTTAAACTGATTTAAATTTTATTTGATGGTGGATCTTTTGATTTTTCATATGATTTTTTTTTTTTGTTAATGGTATGAATTTAAATGTAAATTTCATCATCCAATTGTCTGCTCTGGTCTTAATTTTCTTAAGCCAACATTGTCATGACAAAACTGGTATTTGAGCACGAAATTAATTTTCATAATTTTAATAGCACTGAAAAATCAGATATGATGACCACAGAGAAAATTATTAAAAATTGGAAAATTTACATTGTGAATAATTATAATGTATTTGCACATCGCACACCAACACTTTTGTATAAATATTTGCAGACATGGTAATTTGGTTTTTTAAATTTATGCATGAAAATGTGTGTTTCTGTTTTAAGAAATAATAATAGTATTACTTTCTTATATGGTATTAAAGATTTGAGTGTTGTTGTATGTTGTAAATTCGAAAGTTTACGTGTGAGATTATATAAATACATAAGAATTGCTTCTTATGTATGAAAAGAAAAACATAAAAATTTTGGGAGGTATAGTTAATTTTACTTTACCTTTGGTGACTGAATGAAAGGGAGGATGTAGGAGATGAAAAGTTGAATTAACATTTATTGTTACTATGAGCATTAATGTTTTGCCCATATGAAGATGGTAATGATACAATTAACTCAAGATTCTACATCACAGTCAAGTGAAAGCTATATAATTGCAGTGGGCGACCACTTGAAAGTTTTCCAAGATCTACAAACACTTTTATTCAAGAGAACTAAAGGTTTGACTGAAGCAAAGAATTGGTTATTATGTATCAAGAAAAATTTGGATAATATGACATATTCTTAAGAGAAGAGAGTATCCCTGCTACTTTCATATAAGACAGAGAAGCTAAAAAATGGTGAAGGGTATGCAATAGGAGATAAATTCATTAGGCTACTGCAATGTGAGAAGAAGGATATGCTATGAGATAGAATCTACTATACTATTGAGGTATGCATCACATCGGGTATCAATTGTAGAGGACAAGTGCTACTGATTTTTATCTATTGAAGAAAAGTGCAATATGAGAAGACATGCATGCAAACTGATGTAAAATTTATTGTGCTATTGAGGTATGTGTCATAGAGAAGCTAAAAAATGGCGGTGGGTATGCAATAGGAGAAAAATTCATTAGACAAATGCAATGTGAGAAGATGAATATGCTATGAGATAGAATCTACTATAGTATTGAGATATGCATCACATCGGGTATTAATCGTAGAGGGAAAGTGCTATTTATTTTTATCTATTGAAGAGAAGTGCAATATGAGAAGACATGCATGCAAAATGATATAGAATTTATTGTGCTATTGAGGTATGTGTCACAGTCGATATCAATTGTAAAAGAGAAGTGCTATTAATTTTTATAAGGATTAAACAAAGCTGAAATTGCTACTCTTGGGAATTGATAACTACTTTATACATTAAAGAGGGCTATGAGAGTGTAAACTAACTTTCAAACCAAATAGAATGATAAAATGGGACCAAACTTAAATTTAATTTTGGTGAAATTAGGGGTGGTACTACTTATAGTACCCTACTGTCTTATGTTAACTATGAAAATATCATGAGTGCAAATGTTTGTTGGGCTCCAACATATGTTATTAGTGTTCATGAGTCTGGTCATATTTCAAAGTACTACTCCACAATTGACAATAAGAGTTCTAAAGAATTAAATCCAAGTGGAGCTCAATCAGAGAAAATTATAGGTTGCAAAAGATGATAATTGATTGTTTTAGCTCCCACTCAAATTGTAGTGGGAGAATATTATTTTATTAAATGTATTGATCGTTTCTAAATATATATGTATATTACTCAGCACATTTACATTTATTTACCATGTACATTGTTATTATAAAATTTATTGAATGATATGAAAATGTGAATATAATAAATAATATAAAATGTCAGTATGTGTATGTTGAATGGTAAAATTCTCCCATACTAACTTAAGATGCATATAAATTATTAAAAAAAAAAAATTGATTTTGAAGTACTCTAAATGTCACATTTTAAAAGTGCTTATATAACAAATGCAATATATAAAATGATATAAATATGCCATTGTACATTGTAATAGAACATTTTGAAACTTCTTGAAATATCATTTTCTCAATATATAAACCATCAAATGATTCAATTTCGATTCAGAATATTTGACAATCATGCATGCTATTTTTTATTATCTTTATAATCATATAATTTTTAGTCATATGAATATTCACTTGGTTGATAACTCGTGATGAATTAAACTAATATTTCATATTTAAATCTTGAACCAAAAAAATGAGTGATAGAAGACAAGTTTATGAAAAGAGAGAGGAGCATAAGGAAATGTAATTACATTTATAACGGGTTATATATGTATATTGTGTTTGTAATATGGGGGCTTAACAAATTTCGAAAGGCATTTGATTTGCTTTAAAAAATACGGTACAATGTTTAAAATGAATGTAAGATATTATTATTGTACATACAGTTTGAAATGAGAAATTAAATCAATATAAAATCGGCAACGGACGATAATGGCTAGCGGTCCACGGTGGCGGGGGTGATTTTTGTATGGATTCGTCGACGGTAGTTGCCGACGACAACCGATAATAGCGATCGATGGAGGCATACGTTGACTCAATATTTAAAATTGACCAAATCAAGCAATCTCCAAACACACCAAATTTAAACTAACATAAATTTTGAATTCACCAAAGCCTTACATCCAATCAAAAATTAAAATTTACAAATACAATGCATTTGATTATCAGTACAACATTAACACAAACATACCAACCTCAATTCAAGTATGCAATCACTTACTTTAATCAGGAAAAGATAGCCTCATGCTCATATTCAAATATTTCACACGAACCTTAGTGAGGCTCAGCTATAATAAATTGCTCCAAAGTCAAATCAACCCATTCAATCCTTCACATTTACAAATCAGGTCCCAACTAACTTGTTCATCATCTAATCATAAGAGACCGTTATAAGAAGAAAATTAAAAAATATTACAATAAAACATCACTATAATAACAAAATGAATTCACAAACCCAAAAAGGCAAATGAAGTTCGGCGAACCTGTGCGGTAAGTTCCAGGTTAATCTAACGCTAATATGCGGTCGGTTCTGCTGCCAAAAATGCAAATAATGAAATATTCTCATGTGATTCAGTGCACCCTCCATTGTCCTCAAATATAATCAGTTCATAAATCGCTTCTCCTCTTGTATGCAATAAAAAGGACTCTAGCATCTGATCTCATATGATCCAGCCTTTGTGATGTACCGAACCCATTCAACGGTATTGTATCCACTCTTTTCCCAAACCTGCACAGGATTTGCAGAAATGGGATCAAATTTTATGAATATTTTTTAAGAGTATAAATTTGGGTACCTCAAAACCATACCTTCAGAAATCTAACACGCAAGCCTGATGCAGTGAACATGGGAACCTAAAATTTAAGGACAGAATGTTACTTGAAATATCATTTAAGAATTAAGTTATTTATTGGAAATAAAATACAAGTGTGGTTTCCAATAGAATGGTGCTAATGGCGCCATGCGCCGCTTCCAACTTCACAGTATAGTGAGAAGAGAATACCAAGTTGAAACTTTAAATACTAATTAAGAGCACTTTTTAAAAACATAATTTTGACTGTTTTTACATTTTATTTTTTAAAATAAATCAACCTGTTTTTAAAAATACTCAATATCTTATTTGAACATATCAAGAATGTTTTATTTTAGGAAATTGTACATACACGCCACACAATTCTTATCTATTTACATAAAACACCTAAACTTTTATATTTACAATTATAATACTTTGGTGCCATAACCATAAGAATAAAAATATGTATTTCACTTTTAAAAAGTAAATATGTATTTTTGATGTGATATTAAAGAATTGAGTGATAAGCATATAAATATGAAAGTTTAGGTGTTGGACATCTAAATACATAAGAATTGCATGGTATGTATGTAACTGCACCTTTACTTTAAAACAAGACATAAATAAACCAAATATAAATACAAATTAAAAAAAGAAAGACAAAACTGATTCCAAACAGAAAGTTACTAGATTTGAGAGACAACACTGTCATAAGCTGAGAATTTAGGAGAATAGAATTAATGTAAAAACACTAAATAGAACCTGAAATTCCATCTGGATTGGAGGTCTGGTCCAAGGTTTTTTCTCCGTCATTGTAGAAATAAGCTCAACTTCGGCACTCATTGTTGCTTCTGTTTGTCCTGGAAATTTTCTTATCCTGAAAGTTCAAATATTACCATAATGTTTAGAATAAACAAATACAAAGCAAGCAGAGAAACTTAAAATGAATTAGGCGCAATCTCTCAGAGGCTATCCAACACTTCAAGTTCATCACAACAAGCATAAAGAAAGCATAAAAAATATATGTACTGTGAAATCTTACTTCCACACCAAACAATCAACAGAGGCATTGTATTTTGCTCGGCCAGATGTTACTTGAAAGCTTGTCTTGGCGGTTTGCTTTGGAACTGGAACCTTGACCACAACCCCAAGAGCAAACATCTTTGCGCCAAAAACGCTCTTAACCTACAAAATATACAAGAAGTGGATTAATTTTGTACACCAAGGTATAACAGAACTTGTCCTCATGTACAGCATGGATACCTTCACATTTACTTCCAATCGTGTCCGGCCCAATTCCTTGATTGTTGGCAGCACACGAAATGGAAGATTCACACCTTCGGTAATCCGATACCTGGGAAAAATAAACTTTTTTTTTTCATCAGAATAAACTAATGAAGGTAGAAATCTAGGAGACTCTCAAGCTCTATTTCAGCCCAAATTGGATTCAATTTTGTAAAAAATAAATAAAATAACCATTAGCCAAGTAAATCAGAGTCCGTAGATTTTATAAAGCTTAAAATATAAGCAACGTTTTTTTATTCAAAATAGCAAAAAAACCAAAATTTGGAGTTTATTTTATGTTTTTAGGTAAAGTAAAAGACCAACTCCACATTTCAAGCTGACAAAGGAAGACATTTGGTGACTGTTCAAGAAGTTTTTGAATAAATAGAAACCAACTCCACAATTCAAACCACCAAAGGAGGATTTTGAGGTTTTAGCCACTATCAAGGACGTTTTGAACAATTCAAAACTGATTCCACAAATCAATTCATAAATGGAAGATTCAAACACGAGAAAACCGGCTGCTCAAAGGAGCTCAAGAAAATCAAAATAACTCTCCACAACTCACTCCACTAAGCATTCCCTCTATCCAAGCTGCCCAAATTAAGGAGAGAAAATTCTATGGAACATTCTCTTAAGTCTTTCAAACAGATGTGAAAAGCATTTTGATAACTTGTCCTATAGGGTTGATCTTGTCTTTCCTATTTTTAAACTAGAATTAACTTTTATATAATTTTAAGGTTTCGTTATTAGAAAATTATATGCTATAAAATAAAGCTTGTACTTAATCATGAAATGAAACTGAATACAAACTCAATTCACTCGAAAATTAATCCATCTTATAATTTACTCTCTCTTTTTCTCCATCTATACCCTCCAAACTAATCAACCAGCTTCATCGCCAACATCCCTTTTCTTGGGTTTCTGGCACCATATAAGATAACAAGAGCATATTTCAATAAATCTACACTTATAGATCCTGACTACAAGTCTAGGGAGAAATCAAGTCACTTACTATTTTGATCAAATGTTTGGTTAATAATAGAAAATTTTCTCACTTTTAAAGTAAAATGGAGAGAAAATTACAAGCATAAAAACAAAGTTTGAATGCACAAAAACAATAAATAAATAAACAAGATTTAATCAATTTTTCCTTGATCATCGCATCATCAAGCTAGGAAAATTACTATTAATGATCCTATAGGAAACCTTAGATATTAGCATAGGTTACATAAAACTTCAACAGATTTCACATACACCTGAACATTATTTCGAGTCAATTCGTAATCATATTACAATTAAACCGTGGTGTTGAGTTGATTATGCAGCAAGGTGGTATCAAAGCATAATTATCACGCCTACAGAAATTCATATCATGAGGAATCTAAGTTATGATAAGAAACAAAGAATGAGAAGATATATAAACAAATAGCCTTGCTCTTGGAAAAATTTCCATAGGACCGCCCCAGGATAAAATACCCAAGTCATACCAAAGCCTAGAAGGATTAAATGATAGATGTGAAAAAAAAAATGGCATGCAGTACCCAAGAAGGCCAGAAGAGACCGATACACAACCAAATGGTGCTAAAAAAGAACATTCATGCAGCTAAGAGGCCAGAGGTGATATGATAATGAAAAATATAGTTGAATATTCAAGCGATGAGAAGAAGCTCAAAAGCCAACTGGAAACTACAACAGCTACAGCAAAACAGCATGATAAAAAACAATTGCCAATCAAGGCTAAAAGAATAAAATTATTACCAATCCACTTTTATGGGTTCAACAAATAAACCCTTATAAAGAGGAAATAAGTCACAAGAGGATCAAGACAAAGAAGAACACGAGTCATTGCGAAACATGAGTAATGGCTATCACTTGAGAGGGTGGCAACTTGCCACAACGGGCATTCACATCAGATGGAATGATATTGCAGACTGTCAGGGGGGCTTGTGTAATCTCAAGTCCAAAATAAGCTAACCAAGCCACATTTATCAGTTATTATAGGCCAATCCCTCTATGGGGATGGCCATTCAAGAAGAGCTAGGCAACTTTACCATAAAAAATGGCCACCACTGCAAATAATTCATCTTAAGCCATCGAGATAAGCACTACAACTCGGATTGGACACTTTCGTGGTCCACCTATATTTTATGGGTTTAAAACCACCACCAGAGCTGACTACACATTCTTCGAGATAATTAGATTTATGAATGCTCAACTACAAATTTTATTTTCACAGTGATTAATGGCCATTTCTAGAAGACAATTAACCATAAAAAAGTGATCCATGATCAGGGAGGCTATCAAGCCCTAATTCAGCTCACTTTGGGCTAAATTACAGGAGCAAACAAAATAATAGTCTAGTCGTGTCAAATCAAGGTCAGTAGGTTCTATAGATTCAAATAAACAAGGCAACCTATCGTAACAAATTGGGACCATGTCCATGGGAGTCCAAAATAATAATTCTGGGCATGTTATTTATCCAAAATACAAGGAGACCAAAATTAAATTTTATTTTAAGTTTTGGATACATCAAAACAAACTCCACAATTCTAGCCACTGAAGGATGACTGTTAACCATTATTCGAGGAGGTTTTGGAAAAATCAAAACCAACACTACAATTTAAGTCACCGAGGACTTTAAGCCACTATGTAATATTGTTTTGAATAAATCAAATTCAACTCCAAAAATCTAAGTTGTACATAAGGATTCACAAGAGGAGAGAAAAGATTCCAACCAACTCCAAGGAAAAAAATCAAGATTAATTTTCACAATTCACTCCATCAAACTCACTTTCTATCATGGATCAAGGAAATATTCTCTGAGATATTTTCAAATAAATGCCATAAATATTTAGAATAGGAGTTGTCTCGTCAACTAACTTATTTTAGGTAGTTGTTTACTATATTTCTTATTTTTAAGTTAGATTTAAGTTATAAATAGTTTTCTAATACCTTTATTAGGCAATTAGACACCATACAAAAAATTAGAACTAAGCTTTAAATTGAATTCACTTGACAAATAGTCCCTTCCAATTCAATCATATCCATCATTCCATCCTTCAGAATCCGACAGCCAGCTACACCTATGAGCGCCCAAAGTTGTCGGCAACCTTCTTCCTTTTAGGGTTTCCGATGCCCGAAGAGGTGACCATGAGATTTCTGTAATTTAAAGTTACATATCAAACAGTTAACGAAATTTAAGCTTGGCTGCTATTAGCAGTGAACATGATTGCTGTTTTGCAGAGAAAATAACTTGAAAAACAGACAAAAAACTAGCACATGAAAGGTTTGAATGTAAAAGAACGTGATTAGGATTTTGCAGAGCAATTCATAGTAATCCCTTTTTCCTTGATCATCTCATTATCAAGCTAGGAAGGTTTACTGAGGTTTAACTCATATGAAACCCTCATAAGAAGAATATATTGCAATGTCTAGTTGAATATAAATCAGGCTCATACTCAAAAGACGAACGACAATGCAGTTAAGAATGTTGACATGAAAATAATATATGCAAAAATAAATGCCATGAAGAGAGGTAAAATAAATGCAAAAATATTTGCACGGTTTTCCATCAATAAAGCAGGTTCAATAGCCTAAATTGTTCAAACATTACAGAATTTCATAGTTCAGTTAGTTCTTTGCTTAGTTTCCACCAACGAGCCATCCATTTCATGCATGCTGTACAAACTAAATTTTCCGCTATAAATCTTGCAAAATCTAACTTATAACAAATTTTATAAAACATGCACATAATAAATGAAATTTAGAACCTCAACTAAGAAAAACAAATCATCAACTTGAGCTATCTGTAAAGCAAAATCAATATGGACATTTCTAGTGAGGGTTGAGTGATTAATTACTTCATGAGTTCAAATTCTCCATCAGGTGGCACAAAACTGACAGTCTTTTCCGAGTTAAACCTTGTCAGGTTCACGCATTGATGAAATGTGACATCATCAAGTTCTATAGTTTTTCCACTGCAGAACCATATCAACAAAACCAGTAAAAATCAATTTTAAGGATGAAAAAAAAAAAAGAAGTGAATTATTAGTGATATCGAACACTAATAAACGCTGGCCTGCAGAAATGAAAATAAGGCAAGTGGTGTTTCAAAAGATTATAGGAAAGAACAAATGAAAGCGCTGTAACTTAAGTTAGCTTCGCATGAGCACTGTAACTTGAGGGCAAAATGAGCAGTGCCATAACATGCGTAGAAAGAAAATGCCTTCTTTTCCAAGGGAAAAAAACCTCAAAGAAAACCTCCATGCAACAGATGAAGAAAAATACGGCATTATAAGAAACATAACAAGCTAAATAGGACTCTTAAGGATCTCTATAAAAGAATATAAGAAATGATATTTTACTGCATCATTGTGAAACCCTAAGCATTGATGTATGTTTTAAAAATGTAAACCTGCCATACGGTACGATTTAAAGATGTAAGCCTACCATATCCTCCCTAGAGCCTACCAATGATAGCCGACTAAACAGAACATCTGAAGCAGTTATTTTAAGAAACATTTCAAATCAAACTTACAACAACTAGGGTATTATTAATAAACACAAATGAGAGATGACTTTTTAAATAAATTTTTCATTTCCAAGAAAAAAAGGGAAACATCTAGGTTATTATCCATCTCCTTCCAAATACTCTAAAGCCAAGTTTATCTGCTCATCAATGGATACATTTTCTATCCTTCAATCTACATGTGCAAACCATCTAAAGTTTATTTTAAATTATCAAATCTTCAATCAATGTAACTCCAACCATTCCCCTAATTTATGCGTCTTAGTTTTTTTACACATCTACCTTAACCTTTGCATTTAAGTAATACTCCACTTAGCTATCAATGACTAGTATTTGTTTGAAGGATATGGGAAGTAATCCTTCTAGACTTGTCTACGGAATGAAGAGCCGTAAAAATAAAGTTCAACTATTTTATCCATGATTCATGTTGAATTTGCAATCCAAGGAATATTTCAAGATTTGTTAATGTCTTTCAATACAATAAAGGAAGAATGTGCCTTTTCATTGAACTTCACTTCATTTTCATCCAAGTTATCACTACTGTCAAAAAAAACACTCAACCGAATAATTAACAACCTCCATTTAAAAAAGTAGGAATAACTTGTGTAAAACTCAAAACTTATCTATTTAAAAATTTAACCCCCAAGTTATTTTTTGTACCATCAACCTCATCTATCGGCATGTGCCATGATCAAAATGTCGAGAATTTGACAAAAAGCAAAAAAAAAAAAAAAAAAAAAAAAAAAACAGGTTCGGGTTTGATGTGAACTTTGATATTCAAGTCAGAATTTAAAATTTTTATATAAGAGTGTTAGTTTGTAAATAACTGAGTTTCATGAATTATGTATGTACTTGGCGGAAAAAAATTTGTCTCTAATTCAACCAAAAAAATGCAAAAGCAGATGAAGTCTAACTTTGAAGGAATCATCGAAGACGGAAGGAGGAGTAGCCACAGCAATCTTTGTACTTGAAATTCTTAAGAATCAAAAATGAAATTACGTGAAGCTTGGCTCAAAAGGCAAAAGCTAAGAGTGAAGGTACCTTTGAGAACTAAGGAACACATTTCTTGAATCATGACAATGACAAACAACATTACTCGGATGATGATTTGATTCAACGGTGATAAACCATTGCAAGTTTCTTGGGAGATGACAGCGATGACGTGGATTGATGTGGATTGGATAGAAAAAGATGTGGATGGGTGTAGCTGAGGATCTGGACAATTTGGAGGAATCCTGCTAAGAGGCTTTTGACGATGGACGATTATTTAGATTTCTCAAGCGAAGGAGATAACAAGGTAACCAGATTTGGATGGAGTTGGCAACAGTATTTGTTGAATCTAGGTAGTGAAGTAAGGACGAGATGGAATCACAAGGTATGTCACAAAAACATGGAGAGATCTTAATGGGTAAAAGTTGTTGTCGAATCTGGCTAGATGAATAATAAAATTGTCGGCAAAAGAAAATCCACAAAATCTCAAAGTTAAACATGATTATGTAAGTTTGGGTTGAAGGTGTACTTGGATGCCAAATGGCTGAGGAAAAGGACTGAGATCGGGAAACATGGCATCCTGATAGGAGCACCAGCTCGGATGGTGGTCAACTGATTTGATGAAGAACGTGGCTCAAACACGAAGTTGAGGAGGAAAATATTGCTCGAACATAGAAGACAAGGAATATGTAAAGAGTGACAATGGAAAGAAATATGGGAAGATGCAAAAATAAAAGCACCAAAGCTAGGATTCGAGATCCAAATCAAAGCATTTCAAATTACTCTATCACTATAGAAATTAAGGAAGGAAGAAGATAGAAATGTGACACCTATTCATCATTTTTTTTATCATCAACCTCCTCGGTAGGGCTGTCAAAAGAGCTCGTTGTTTGCAAACAGTTCTTATTTGATTCATTCGATAAGCAAATGAGACGAACACGAATAATTTTTTTTCGTTCGTTTTGTTAAATGAACCAAACACGAACAGTGTTGTGTTCGTTCGTATTTGAATCGTTATTCTTCGAAATAAATAAATAATTTAAAAAAATCATATATAAAAGATTTATGATATTTTAAAAATAATTATATACTCTAAAAATTTATCATTTTTTTTAAAAGCAAATCCCATAAATTATAATATATAATAAATTAATAATAATAATATATTACTATCAATACCATAAAATATTTTACTACCATAATAACATCATTTCAATGCCACAATAACGCCACATACCAAAACACGGCAAATCCCTACAATAACACCATAAAACTACGACAAAACTCCGCAATAACACCACAATACAACCAAAAAACTACCGCAATAACACTGACGCCCCGCCCAGGGTTGTCAAAGCGACTCGTTCGCAATATATATATATGATACTTTTTTTAATTAAAGAGCAACTCGTGGCTATCTACGCGTTAAAATAAGAAAAGATACAAATTGGGAGGGAAAAAAGAACCACAACTAAAACCCAAAAGAAAATACAAGAAGATCCCAGAGGCTCCAATTCCACAGTACAACTCCACCCAAAAAAAGTAAAAGACCCGTAAGGTATCGCATACCCCCAAAAAATTATATTAAACCAAAAAAGTATACCGCCAAATCAACCAGAAGACAAAGAAGCCAAATAGACGGACGTCAATTTTGGCACGAAAGGACCAGATGGAATTAGCAGTGAGCAGGTCGAAATCGGTAAACATAGCAGAAGCTGAAGTGTCCACCCCGTAAATCCAAGCTATAGGCTCCAAAACCAATAAGTCCAGATAAACAAGATTAAATAAAAGGATAGATGCAGTTGTAACAGATGGAAATGTCTCAAATTTGGAGAAACTGGCTAAGCCCACACCATCCCAAGTTATCCAAAACAGAGAAAGGTAAAAGCAGAAAATTCTTCCAAATCCAACCCCAGGTAGCGAAGTGAAATAGAAACCTCCCCCCAATAAATCTATGGATAAAAGAACACGGCACTCTATATAAAGAGCAAACTGAGATGCCTGAAATAAAATTCCAATGGCTCCTCCTAAAAACCGGCACAACCCCCTATTGAACAACTGAAAAGGAGTGACTGAGTTAACATTAAACTGTGAAGGAGAAATCTGCGGCCCAGTTAGGCCCCAGGTAACAGTAACGCAAGGCCTCCAAACCCAACCAGCCATATAAAGGAACCCAAAAATGAGAACAAGCCACCCAAAATTCACATAAAAGAAGCATCGATTGGAGCCACCAAAGAGGCATATAACCTCATACTTAGTACAGTAAAGCATAGCCTGCACCCTTATATAATCAAAGGAGGAGGCATAGAAAAGCATTTCATACCTCATCCACCTAAACTTAGTATGAAACATATTAAAATAGTGGCAAAAAAAAACCAAAGACAAAACCAAAAAACAGCCAACCATCCGAATCTTCAACCTCCAGTAAGAAAATAACGTTATTCAAAAAATTCGACATCAAACACCTTCAGCCATTAAACCTCCTGACGAAAGGCAAATCCATAGAATCTCCCCTTAAAAGCCTCTTTAACTGATATGGGGGTGAAGCATTAATTATAATATTACCCTGAAGTTTAGCAGTCCTCACCAACCAATCCGCGGGGGAATTACCTTCCCAAAAAGTATGAAACAAGCGAATATTTAAATTATGATGATCCATAATCACACGAATTCGATTCCAAATACCCAAAATATTTCACTTAGGTATGATAGTACAACAACAACAACAACAACAACAAAGCCTTAATCCCACTACGTGGGGTCGGCTACATGAATCCTTTTTCTCCATTGCGTCCTATACAGTGTCATATTTTCATTTAGTTCTAGTAAATTAAGATCATTTTTAATACAATAAGCCCAAGTCTTCCTAGGTCTACCTCTGCCTTTCTTAAAACAAGTCGAATCTAAAACATCTACTCTCCCAATCGGATCATCAGATGGTCGACGTTTAATGTGACCAAACCATCTAAGACGACTTTCTCTAATTTTGTCCGTCACAGGAGCTACACCAACCCTATCACGAATATATTCATTTTGCATTTTGTCTCTAAGTGTAAAGCCACTCAACCACCTAATCATTCTCATCTCAGCAACACTTAACTTATTATTATGCTTCTCTTTTAAAGGCCAACATTCAGCGCCATAGAGCTTTGCAGGTCTCACTTCTCTTCTACTTAGGTATGATAGTAGAGTCAAAATATTTTAATACCATAAGTGAATCCGTCTCCACCAACAATTGAGAGAAGTTACAAGAGACGGCCACCTGAATAGATAAAAACAAACCCCAGAATTCGACTTCCAAAGCAGTGGAAGCCACAATTGGAGAAGCAAAGTAAATAAGGCACCTACCGAGGTGGTCCCGAAAAACCCCACCTGCACCTGCCGCCGTGGGATCCCAACTACCATCACAGTTAACATTAACCCAACTCATCGATATATATATTGATAAGTAGTGTTTTA